GCATTCCCCCTCTGCGGGGTGCCTCTTGCAGGCTTCCGAGTTCTAATGCCCATGTCCCTTTCATTGTCTCCCCGTCCCTCAGTGTGGCAGTCGCCTCCTTCCGTCACTCTCTGGGCCTTTGGGGCCACCTTTTTGCATTTTCACTCCTCTGATATCTGCTCGACCAAACCCTTCTGTTAGCATCTCCCTGGTAAGGTGACGGGTGGAATGTCTGTTTTCCTGACTGGTCTGGACTGACGCATGCATGGCTTCACTGTCCGCTCTTCCCAGACTTGCCACTTCTTAATAAGGAGCCCCAGGAGGACCACGCAAGGCCAAACGTCCCTTAGCAGGAGAGGTCACCCGGTGCAAGAAGTCACGCTGGTTAGCTTGGAAGATGTGTTTGTCCTCAGAAGCTTGCACAGCCTTCCTGTTCCCCATCTCCACTCTACAATATCTTTTCCAAGGTTAGCAGAATTATAAAAATATCAATTTGGCCATGATTGACTTTTCAGCTGGGATACCCAGGAAGTCTTTCAGCAGCCTCAATAAATTAAATCTGGCCACCGAGCTTCTAGACTGGCAGGCTCCTACATCACTGACAGAGAAGACAGGGGAAAGCAGGTTTCCCAGCTGCTGCTGTAAATGATGGCCATTGTGTTCACGACCATTAGCAGGTGGAGGCTTTGAAGTGCGGGTAGATGGCAGAGCTGACTTTTTACAAATGCATAAGTGCTTTGTGAGCCTGCTCAGTCATGTTTCACTCAGCTCAGTTTGAATTTTTCGTAGGGGAGAAATAGTCCCCAGTCTTTCCTCTTTTATTCCTTCTTTATCAGTCCGGACTTCTGCAGATATGGCTAGAGTGGGAAGGGGCCGAGTCCAGGCACAGAGTGTGCTTGACGAACCCTCCGTTTTTCTAGGTTGTGGGGTGTCATTGGAAGATCGGGACTGAAGAACTGGAGGCATTTGTGTTTCCTGCCCCTCCCCATTGAATCCAAACTACAAATTTCTCCTGGTTCCGGGGTTAAATGTCTTTGGTGTGTCTTCAAGTAAATTTTTATCCTGGAAGACTCATTCGTTTGCGGATTTCTAAGCGCTGCACTGTAATGGAAACTTCCTTCGGAAACTGTGCCCTGGCCACACACTGTGCGTCACATGCTGTGCTTGCCTGTGGTTACTAGGCGCCCCCACACCAAGGGCTAGATATTACTAACTACTCAGTGTGCATTTTTCTGACAAGACCAGTTATAGCCTCCGTGTTCTTCCTAGCAAGATACTCCAGCCAGAGCCACAAATCGGTTGTGTAGCATATTAGTGGAACTATAATAATCCTATCTACTAAGCTCCTGATTTGTTAATGTAGATCAGAGCCTGGCTTATAATAGAACAAATATGTACGAATGAATGGAATGCTTATTGGGTGACATAAACCAGGAACTGCCTTTACATTAACAATCTCATTTAATTTTCCTATTCTAGGTCTACGATTATTAGCCTTATTTTTCAGATGAGGAAACTGAAGCTCAGAGAGGTGATGTAATTTATCTAATCCAGCAAATTGTGGCACCAGACCCTGGAGCCTGAAATCTGCCCTGCTCTATTATCAACTTGATAAAATTCAGCATATGCTTTTGACTCATGCATTCATTCATCAAACATTTATCAAACCGCTCTTATGTGCTAAGCACCAAAAATGGTATAATATCCAACAAATTCAGCAGTGGTTTATTTTAAAATGAGGTTGCCCAATAGGTAGGAGATTTTTTGGTTTTTTAATACCAATAAATAGGACTTGCTTGGAATGAAACAATTCTCTCCCCAGATCTGGCTAAACAATTGTAACCTCTTTTCTCCTCAAACGGAGAAAATTATTCCAGCCAATTTTGAAACCTCAGCAAATTGCAGGCAAAAGCATGATGCAGTTTGAAGAGCCATGGTATTTATGAGGTCTTTATTTGCCATAGTTGGGGGTTTCTAGCATACCTTGAATTGCAGAATTAACCTTTCATAGACACTTCCACACTTTCTAGGATTACAATTGGTGGATTATAAAGGGCCTGAAAAGGGTCTGGCAGCCACATGTGTTACTTCTGTGTTCTGGTTTAAAGCCTCTGTGTGGTAAAGTTCTTAGAAAGGGGGTAATCAGGCAGGCGATGCTTCCAAAACAGAAACAGGGTGCTTATCTTCTCACATTTGATTGTTTTTCAAATTTCATAAGGACTGCTCACACAGCCTCTCCAGATGGACTATATTAATCTCATCGTCTCCCTTGATTTCAACCTAGTATATAGACTTCAGGAACTACCTTGTCAATTATCTTGCCAAAATTGTAAAACATTCAAATGTTTCTCATAAAATACTGAAATGTGGTGCTATCACAGACTGTATAAGAACTAAGTTGTTCGATTTCCCTTTAATAGCGAGAGTGCCTAGAGCAAGTGGAAAGCTCTGCTTGTCTGCCTGGTAGCTGGAGGATCCCAGCTGACATTTACATCCATGATCTTCCCAGCAGTTCAGTGAGGAAAGAGCTGCATCCGTCCAGGTTCTTGGCTTGGTCATGGATGGAGGGCTACATGCAGTTTTCCCCATGAACAACAGGGCTCCATCACTTGATGGTGTTTGTGTTGTTAAAATGCCTTTAGAAAAGCCTCACACTTCTCTCCAAGTCCACCGAAAGGAATGGCTTTTCCGTGGGGAAGGTAGAAAATCACCGGCATGTGTTTCCATGGGCTTGGCAGGGTTAATGGCCAAAATATTGTGTCTTCTTATTTTATGGTAATGGGCAAGCATATCCCAGCACATCGTTAATGTTCTTTTCTTTCTCCACTTCCTTTTTTTTTTTTTTTTTAAGGGCTAAGTTCAGTTTCTGAACTTTTCTCAAAAAGGATCAAACCAGAGCAGCTCCAATTTGACGTGATTACTTTTACTTGACCCAGTTCATTGGAGCCATTTCTGTATCGAGTCCTGTTAGTGTAAGAACGGCCAGGTTTGGAGATTTAGATGCACAGCCTGCTTCCTGAAGGAGAAAAGTACCGCCTCCGAATCCGGGCCGGCAGACAGAAGCCATTTTCTGTTGCTGATATTTCCAGTCACCAGCTGGTACACGTGGAACACTTTCTCTGTCGTACGGAAGGTAGTTATTTGCAATAGCCTGGAATAGCTAGGGCTTTACTACTGTGGAGATTTCCTTTTGGCTAATTGGATTGTCTCATTTCATTTAATGGGTATATAAAAACAGTAAGTAATCATTCACATTTTATAAAGTGGTTTGGAAGAGTAGGTACACATTGGAGATACTTTCGGAGTTGTGAATTACGGAGACTTTTTACTTTTTTCACTCCCTCTAGAAAAATGTCTAAGTTGCGATAAATATTTAAATCATTAGATATGTAGAGGACAGGTATTTTATAAGAAGACAGGACATAACTTTCCTAATGTTTCCATTCGAAGTCCTCTACACTGACCATATTAGAAATGATGAGTAAGTGGGGTCTTATTCTAATGTGACTCATTACTTATGGGCATAAAATATAGTGTAAATCAAAACTGGGTCTCTTCTAAAACATAGGAAGACATTACCTTATTCTTGTCTTTAATATTGATGTCATACACAGGATTAATTTCCTTTTATTGTCACGGCTCAAGTGCAATGAACGTGTAAGTGCCTTGGCTATAACATCTGCTCAGTAAATAGCATCAAGTTTGTGACTCAGGAAGGCTGTGGCTCTTCAGAGAGTGGAAGGCTGGGAGAAGCGACTTATGTTTAGGGAATTGCTTTGTGCCATGATTGTGGATTGTCTAGTTTGGGGGGGCCTCCAGCTGTGTATCTGAAAACTGGCTCTGCTTCCATGTAGCTGAATGCCGTGCTGTGAGTCAAGATGTGGGGGAATAGGGAGAAAGGGGGTCACACTAGCTTAAACATGATGTAGTGAGCAATATAACTGAAAAGTCCACTGACAGGCCTAGCTTCAGGTGTGGCTGGATCCAGGTACTTAAAAGTTATTTTTAGGATATGGTCTTTTACTGAATTTCTGCACTGTGCCCTAATAAGCTATTTGCTAAGATTATAGCAATGGGTGAACACTTCACGGTGCCTACTTCAGAAAGCTCATGGTATAGTAGCTGAGATGCATAAGATAAAAAAGATTTTTAACAAACTGTGATGTGTGCAATAACAGCACTTACAAATTAAACCATGATTCAGAGGAAAAAAATGACAAGTGTTTCTGAGGAGAGGTGAACAACAACTTTAGAGAGAAACTGAACCTTGAACACTGTTTTGAAAGAGAAGTTATTTTACAGACAGGCAAATGGAAGAAAAATGGTTAATTGCCTTGATTATGGTATTTGGGAGATGTGAATTCCCATCCAAGCTCTGCCATTTACAAATTGTACAAATTCTCAGGGTCTCGATTTCCTTGAGAAAACTGGGAGTGGAGCTATTGTGTTCATAAAATCATCATGAGGATCTGATGCGTTGGTGGGTGCCCAGGGCTTGCATGGGGGCTGCACAAAGTGAGCCCCACCTGGCTGATAGCTGTCATTCCATTCTTACAGCCTGCCCCTACTGCAATAATGTGGAGTCTTGGATTAGGGTTTACCATCAGCCACAGCAAAGTCAGCTAGCATTTATTGAGTGCTAACTGTGTGCCACGTACTGTGTTAAGAATTTTGCATGACTTGTCTGAATTCCACCTACATGTCGAGGTAAGTAGGAAAAGTATTATCCTTATTTCACAGACGAGAATTTAAGGGGTCTGTCAAAGTAGCGAGGTTAGTAAATGGTGTAGCTGAGTAGCTGTTGGACTCCAATGCCCGTGGGCTCAAGTGTTATACTAAATCTCCTCTTACACAGCATGCCTTTATAACTGCCTCCCAGCAGTGCTCTCGGCTCCTGGGCTCCCCCGTTGCATTCCATCCTGCGTGCCACCCCTCTGCTTCTAAAGACAGGGTGCGCATGCATGTGTGTGTGCGCGCTACGCTGCGGCCATTAACCCCTTGGGTCCTGTGCTTCCTTGCAGGTGAGCCTTCCAGGTGGTCGTCCTCGCACTGTGACTGCTGCTGCAAGAACGGCAAGGGCGACAAAGAAGGGGAGAGCGGCACGTCCTGCAACGACCTCTCCACCTCTAGCTGCGACAGCCAGTCCGAGGCCAGCTCTCCCCAGGAGACGGTCATCTGCGGGCCGGTGACGCGCCAGACCAACATCCAGACCCTGGACCGCCCCGTCAAGAAGGGCCCCGTCCAGCTGATCCAGCAGTCGGAGCTGCGGCGGAAAAGCGACCTGCTCCGAACTCTGACATCAGGCTCCAGGGAGTCGAACATGAGCAGCAGAAAAAAAGCTGTGAAGGAAAAGCTCTCCGTTGAGGAAGAGCTGGAGAAATGCATCCAGGATTTCCTCAAGATCAAAATTCCAGATCGGTTTCCCGAGAGGAAACACCCTTGGCAATCTGAACTTTTACGGAAGTATCACCTATAGGGGAGGGCGGCTGGGGTGGGAGAAGCAGCGGGCTGTGTCCCCGTTTGGACGTACACCTCCAAAAGCGATGCAGAGTCGAGAAGACCAACAGCTAACAATGCACATTTGTGAGAACACAATGGCCCGTCGATACTACTACTGCCTGTTTACCTGGTTCCCCTTAACATGTCAGTCCACAGGGTAGATTTCTTTCCAGATGTGGAAGCATAAGAAAATGTTCCGGTTATTTGCTGGTGTATTGCCTTGGTCCTATGCGCTGGGTATCCTATATAGGGAGAGCCGGCTGCCTAACTGTAGCTGAGAGGCCTTGGGACTCATTTATCCCAAACTGAGTTTTTCTGTCATCTTCTACCTCTCTCCTTTGAAAGAGATTGTGGTAGAAAGAGATCTGGCCCAACGGCACATGTTTGGATTTTTTTTTTAATTTTCCTTTTCCCTTTGTTTACGGGGTCTGGGGGGATTGGCTGATTTATATGACTTTTCACTCAAATCTATTATGTGACAGTTTATATTGACTCTGTATGCATGAGTATTTGTGCAACAAGAACACAACGTCTGTATATACACACAGTGCACACGACCCCAGGGGCCCTAGTACCCTAAGGGGGATTCCCTGCTCCCCGTAGCACCTCTTAGAGCATTTCAGACAAACGAGCCGAGGCTCGTTTCTTACAATCCTCTGGGAAGATTTCCCTGCCTCTCTTGGCAACGCTCCCTAACCCTCCTCATCAACAAAGTGTCTTCCTTATTTTGAAATTGACACCTTCAAGCTCCATTTCATTGCTCTTTCTCTGCACTAGGAGAGGGTGACAAGAGCTAGTCAAACTTTGTGTTAAAAAAAACAAACATTCGTTTCCACGAAAATTCCTATGAAATGACCCCACCCTCAGCCTGCTCTACCCTGAGCTGAATTATCTTCCTTCTGTCAATGTTTTCAGAGTTCTTCCCGCCTGTGTTTTCATTGGCACAGCCTTTCTGCATCATCCACATCCCTCTCTCTGCATCCCTGTGTAGCTGTGGAAGGAAGACCACCACCCAGGTGCTTGACCAAGGCCCCAGCCTTTTGTTGAAGTGGGGATCATGCTCCATACACCACCCAGTAACTCCTCATGACTTGTTGACACCCAGAGCTGCGTTGTTACTTTCTCATAGCCTTTCCTTGGCCTTTGGGATGCTGGGATTTGGTGGTCCATTTTTCTGATGTCTTTGAATAATCCGACTAGTAACTAGAGCTCCAAAATTAAGGTTTTGCCTATCTAAACTATCTTTCTTAATTACATCCTTGACCTGTATGAACACAACCAAAAGGAAACTACTAGTAGCCCTCCCCTCTCATGACTCTGTATTCTATTAAGGTACCAAGAGTAGACTGGTGGTGAATGAATATTAAAAGGCCAGTTTTTGTTTGCAGCATGCCTGATGCATTTCAGTGGGAAATGAAAAAATAATTTGGCAATCATTAGTTGTGTGCCAAGCACTCCTAATTTTTTTTTTTGTGTGTGTGTGTGTGTGTGTGCGTGTGTTTGTGTACATATATCACAGGTAATAAAGGCAAACTGGATGATACCTGTAGGAGGGAAAAATAATCATTTGCTTCCTTTTGAAATATTTCACTGACGCACATTTATCATGTGAAAGGTTTTGTGATTCCTGTCACTAGGGCCCATTCGTTTATGGATGTCTTTCTGAATTGTAATTCTCGCCCTCGCGCCTGGATATTAGACTCTTGTACTGATAGTGCAAATGGAATTTAAAGTTTACTTAGATGAGCAGAAAGTTCATTTGGTGAGTTGAGTTGTCAAGAGAGTTATTATTTATGAATTGAAGTGGTATTCTTTTGTGTATTGATATATTAGCAGACATTTGATCTTAACTACAACACAGCTTATAAAGCCTTTCAATATGTCTTCATTCTTTTCAATGTTTTTTAATATCACATCCAAATACCATCACCCTAACAATAGAGGAACCTGCAAAAAATCACAGAATTTAATGGGTCAAGAAGATAGTCCCCAACTCACTGGATCAAGTGGTTCTTATGGCCTTAGTAGCAATGCTGTCAAAGAGTTGGGGGGTCTGCATAAAATGGCCAAAGCCCCAACTTCCTATATGCAGACCTGAGTGCTGTGGCATCAAGATAGGGACTTCTCATAAGAATTGGAGAATTAGCAAGATGGCAGTTAATCTACTGCTTTTACTATATTCTTTAAATAAGACATTAAACACTGCAAAGAAAATGTTCATGCATTATTTCTGTTCCTTGACCTGTCATGAATTCTTTTTTTTCTTGCTTAAGCACTCTTTACACACCCAGTGAAAAAAACTCATGGTAGGAAATCTGATCAAAACAACAAGGCTCATCTGGGCCAGCCCTAGAGACACCCACCCCAAAGAGTCCAAATAGCTAAGACAACAAAAACATTGTACGAGTGTCTGTATAGAGATTAATATAGACCCAGTCAGTAAGAGGCTCTGAGGAGGTACTGAGTGAGCGGAAGTCTTCAGCTCTAGTTTGAGTGGAGCTGCTCAGTGAGGTCTCCGTGGCCTGCAACATTGGACATGAATTCTGAGTGAGTTCCAAGATTAAATGCCCTGCTGGCCCTGGCAGTCACCGTGATTCAGGCCTGTTTCCCTGAACTCAATATAGTTGTAAGAACTTTCAGCTCAGTTCTGGACAGAATAACATGTATGGATTGCTTCTTGAATATCGGTTATGACAAGGGCCATAATTTGCTCAGACAAAAAAACTAATAGCATCCAAGGGCCAAATGAATGAGGAATCGGGTGTAGATCCTCAGTTTAGGTTGCCTCCTGGGAGATCCTGCAATGCTAAAACTCGGTGAGCGTGGGGAGGTCATCTGTAGAGGTAGTGGAGTCTCCTGAAGTCAGAAACACATTTAAAGTTCTCTATCCACCATCAAAAAGGGAGTGATCTGTGCTCAGCAGGAAAAGGGGAAGAGAGGAAAATAAACCTGTTAGATCATTGTGGTAGCGTGCTCCCCTTCTCCTGCTAGGAAAATAATGAACTGAGATGTGCCCGTCAAACAACAGAGTGGAGTGGCTTCCACAATATGCAGTGATGTTCTCCTTGGCAGCTGTAGGCAGTTATCTTACTGGAAATGCACGCATGGTGAATTAAAGTAAAAGGGGACAATGCACAAGTCTTACCCCTTCACTCCTTACTCCTCCATACCTATGTCTACCCCCACCCAGTTCATTTTGGTGAGCTCACATGAGGTTTTTCACTTTTCAGTTGGCCTTGTCTGATTCCCAGTCACCTTTCTCCCTCCGCACAGATGTGTGTTGTGCATTTGGGTCGTCTTACTGCTACTGCTTAGATTTCTCTCTGATTATCCTTTGTCTCTGCCAAGCAAAGCATGCACCAGTGAGAAAAAGAAGAGGCACGTTTTTTTGGGTTTTTTTTTTTTTTACAGAATTACTTGACACCAGCTCCCTTACTGGGGGCCAAACTCTGATTCTCAGATATTCTCCTTTGCTACAAATTTATCTTCCAACTTGGCATTTGCTGTAGTGGATTAACCCAGAGCACTGGAGTTGCTGGTATTTTCTGACATTAGATCATGCCATGGAATTTGACTAATTTTCATCTTCTGGATGGATCTTTATAGAATTAATAAGACTCTTACTATGATGTTTTAGGAAGAATTCTTTGTCATCTCTGCTTGATAGAGCTATTTGCAAAGGAAAAATGAAGAGAGCCCTACCCCCACCCCCATCTCCAACCCCACAGTCCCCCCATGACTCTGGCAGATAAAAGTTTCTGCCGATTTGCATGGTGGGTAGCAGGTTTAGCATAGGCTTTTTCTATTTTTAACGTCTTCGTATTGTTGGCGTCTTGCAATCTTGATGGCTCACTGTTCCAATTTATTTATTTTCTTTTATATTGTCAAAATAACACACCACAGAAGGAATCAGAGTGAGCATTCTGTACCCTGAGTTCAGATGGAGTTAGATGGCATTTGCACAGGACTATACAATGATTAATATCTGCAGAAAAATTAGAGCAAATGAAACCTGCTGGAATGGGTTTATCTGTATTGCCGGCATCATTCTGCCTTCAGATGACGCAGTGATTGCTCTGCACCCCTGCTGAAAGGAGTCTTAAACTGTGCTAATCTCAGTGTTGTGATGGAACCAGAGTTTATTTGTTTGAAATGTCTATTTTTCTCATCTTATCATCTACATTGGAATGGAGATTCTTTTCCCAGTGACCCTTGCAAACTTTCAAGCTGTGTTTTTCAGTTCTCAGCATGTACAAAAATCATTTGCAGCACTTGTAAAAATGCAGATTCTTTCACTCTAACCCCAGAGAGTGTGATTCAGAGGCTTTCAGCAGGGCTAAGGAAATCACCGTGTTGGCCTAGCATCATTAATGATTTGAAGGGGATGGTCTTGAGAAATTGTGCTTTTAAGGGACTATGCAGAAATCAACATTTCTCTCACTTCCTAGTGGCATTTCCTCACTTCCTCTCATTTTTTTTCCACTACAAAGAAGTCAATGCATGGATTACTCATGATCTTAAGAGGAAAGTCCCAGGGAAAACCACCCCAGGACTAGGGCAGAAGAGATTTTTATGATGCCTTTGCTCTTTCTTTCATTGGTCTGTCAACTGTAGCCTCTTCTCCACTTTGGGTGTGTTTGTGTGGTTTGTTTTGTTTTTTCAAACCGAAAGGCTGCATGAGTATAGTTTTTAGCTCTGGGTGGAAGGGAGCACATCTCTGAGTGAAATGTGTCCTCATGATACCCAACAAGGAGTAAACAATGAGCTTTCCCAAGGAGAGCAGTTCGTTTCCAGGTCTCACGCAGCCTGAGTCAGAGGCACTTGAGAGTAGCTTAGCGATGGGTATGGTCCCAAAGGTGGGCCCATCAACTGCCCATACAAATACGACCCGAATGAATATGGAACCAATAGTGAATTTAGCTGGATTTCACCAATGACATTCAGAGGCATTGAGCTGCTATCTGTCTAATATGACTAATGCAGGACTATGAAGCTCTCAGATAGTTGAAAATGCTGAATCTCAATATTAACTAAAAGCCTCAAACAAAATCCATGAAGGAGAATACATACAAAAGAAAGAAAGATGGAGCGAATTCAAAATAGTAGTCCTCTTTCATATGTGATGACAAGGAGGAGAAGTTCTGTGATTTCCCCCTCACTCTGACCGGGGCAGATGGCCAGACTATGATTATTCAGATGGAAAAAATTGGGATTTTCAGTGATCCAGTTGGTTCCATCGATACGACAGAATAGACAGGTGTCAAATTCCCACGGCTACAAGAGAGAGAAAATGCGTGGCTTAGATTCGCACTTGTCATGATCATTGAATCTTTAAGATTTCTGCCACAAGGAAGCGAAGAATGGGCAATGAAACTAATAACTTGAGCTGCTAATTAAGATTCTCTGGTCAAGGTATTTTGTTAAATGCTCAATTTGATTCCGCCCGCTTTCCGTCTTACTTCCCAAGTGGGATCCTTTCATTGCCCCAGCTTCCTAACCTTTAAAAAATGTTCCTCTTGTTTCTGGACAAATTGCCTTGTTTATTGAGTAAAGAGTTTTTAGTTCCTAGACTATCATCCTTGCTTTATTTACAGAATTGACTTTGAAAGGCTCAAGAAAAAATGTGCCCTGGCCCACCAACATTCCAAGGGTTTGTCCTGATGGAGGAGGGTGGTGACTTTCCTGTTAATCAGCCTCCTAAAAGCATTTACATACCAATGGGAGAATTTAGTAAGTCAGCTCTCTCCAGCAACCTCTTCATCTTGTCAGATTATTCTTCGAATTGACCTTTAGCTAATTTACCTGCGTTTGCACAATAGAAATCAACATAGCTTCAGACTCTCTCCCTGCTGATGGTGGCTCCGTCCATCACAAAAAGAAGCAGGATTGATGCGCCAGAAAGTACCTGGGAAGACTCGCTTTATAATTTCATCTCTGTGAAAGGAGTGTGTTCATGTACGTGTGCATATATATGTGCAATTTATAGGTTGGTGTTGCGTCGGTGACTAATAGCCATAGTAAAGTTACCCGAATGCATGGAAAAAGTCTTTGGTTACAAAGTTTAACGGCTTTGAATTCAACACAACAGGGTATCTTTACGGTGGGTGTCAGTCCTTGAAAACATTGAGTAAAGCTAGTCAGATGTGAAATTCAAACATTACAGATTTCTGGGTAAAAAACTCATTTTCATTTATATTGTCACTAGTGAAAGTGGCATCTTACTAAAAAAAAGAATGACAAGAAAAAGAATACTTTGAAAGCTAAAATATACATAGGATTCACATTGATCACTAGCAGTTTTTCTCAATTGAAGCCAGTGGTGTATTTTTGTGAGAAACAGAGAGAAACAATTTCTGGAAATACTCTTCTCTGATTTGTTTAGGTTATGCACATTTAAGGCTGTGACTCTCACCCAGGAGAGATTTTGCCTCATGGGACTTTTGGCAATGCCTGGGCACATTTTTGATTGTTGTGGCTTGAGAGGTGCTACTGACATCCAGTGGGTAAAAATCTGGGAGGCTGCTGTGCTAAACATCCTATAATGCCCAAGACTGCCTTACAACAAAGGATTACCCAGCCCAGAATGTCAATAGCCCTGAGGTTGAGAAATCCTGAATCAAGGGTTGGCTCAAATTTCCCAAGGCATTCTTACCAGGTAGAGAAAGACTTCTAGGTCAAGAGAGAGGATGACATACAAATAATAATTCATATCGGCCTAGATCTGTATAGGGTATTTTTGGCATTGGATGCAATGATCCCCTTATACAGATATGAATGCTGAGATTCATTTCCCAGAATTCCAGTGGTGATGGGCAGACCTGGGGTCTAGGTCTCTGTCTTTGTACCTCAGTAAAGTCATCAACCTTATCACAGCTAAATGTGGTTGTTACAAAGCACGTGGGAGCATTTTCAGGTGATATGGCCTTATCGGGATGTTTCTCAAGCTGATGGACAGTG